TCTGTGATGTGATTGGAAGCATCTTGCAGCATGAAAATAAAAAAGGAAAGTTTTGCCTGAACACGATTCTCATCTGAAACACTTTACAAATGCGGTACTAAGCAGGACAGGTTTATTATTAATGGGTCAAAGAATGTAAACTTGCAATTAGTAAGGGGGGAAAGTGAGAGGTGGGGGGAGAATATGAAAATCAAGAGTTGGGGAAAATATAAAACTAGTATGCTTTGGGGGAATACCCTGCTTCGAAGATAAAACCCTGCTTTGGAGATGATATAAAACTGGTATGCTTTGGGGGAATACCAAGTAAATAACAATAATAGAGATAATATATCTACTTTGTAGAACATACCTTTCTCATTGTTATGAAAGAGTTCAGATTTCCCACATATGTGCTAGTAGTTCCCGACTCTAGGGGGCAGTGCTCATCTCCGTTTCAAAGCCAAAGAGCCAGCGCTGTCCGAAGACGTCTCCGTGGTCATGTGGCAAGCATGACTAAACACCAAAGGGGCACAGAACGCTGTTACCTTCCCACTAAAGATGGTTCCTATTTTTCTACTTGCATTTCTTATATGCTTTCAAATTGCTAGGTTGGCAGAAGCTGGGACAAGTCACGGGAGCTCACTCCGTTATGTGGTGCTAGGGATTCAAACTGCCGAACTGCCGACCTTTCTGATCGACAAGCTCAGCACCTTAGCCAGTGAGAACAATAAAAAGGGATTCTATTTTAAAGGGCATTTACTCAGAACCTAATTACTTACTACTGGTATATTTGGATTCCATTAAATTATATTTGGCTATCACTGGCTATTGAGGCCTCTTTTTAGCTTAGAGTTTAAAAAAATGATAATATAGCAATATAGCTGATGATTATTGCTGCAGTAATCTACAGAGAACTCAACTACACAGGGAACGTGTCCGTCTCTGTAGTAAAAGCTATGCAATAAACTTGATTCAGAGGAGGGAAAAGGAAGAATCGGAAAAGAGGATTTCCACCAGCACTGCATGAAAAGCTGAAATCGGAAGAGAAGGGGAAAAAAAATATGGCAGGAAAATTATGTACTTTCTCACTCTTCCTTTTCTCTGAGCACATCCTGGGTATTTCTACCTACTACAGGTAGCCGACTTACTCAGTTCATTTAGTGACTGTTCAACGGCACTGGGAAAAGTGACTTAGGGCCATTTTTCGCACTTACGACCGTGGCAGCATTCCCCATGGTCATGTGATCAAAATCCAGATGTTTGGCAACGGACTCGACGGCCGGAATGTCCCGGAG